ATTGTTGAAAACAGTGTTTGCCCAGTAGTGGATATTAAATAAATGTCTAGGAAACAGAAAAGGAGGGAGGAACACGTTGATAATTTGGAGAATGGCAGACTTATGTACTTGGAATTCAAATTTTGGTTTTTGCGTGTGTTTGTGCAAGCTGTGAATTCATTTAGTGTATTTATGCCTAATTTCAAATTCCTTCTTTGATATATGATAGTTGTATCTGTATCTGGGATTTGATTTTAGTTCCTGTGAAGTGTCATTATAGTTGGTATTGCATTTTTTGCACTAACTGTATTTGGATCAGGTTTTGTTTAAAGCCCTTGGTAGTTCTTTGATTTTTATGATTTGTAAATTTGGTATTTCCAACTCTAACAATTTTTAGTAATTGACAGGCATTTCTATTTTTTATAAATATACCTTAATGGTTACAGAAAATTCACAGCAAGTTTTTGGAATGTTAAACAAATTCTGCCTTTAGTTTTTCATTCTCCAGAACCTTTATGGTGCTCATCTGAATGTATTACAAATCTAAATCTTAAATATTATTTATAATGGAAGATAGTAAACAATGCAAAGAAATCACAAAGTAAATTTTAGTGTTTTTCTCCTTAAGCTCACAACAGAGAAACCAAATAATTAAATAGACCACATTCTTAGGATAGACTGAGCCTAATTTAAGTATAAAACACTCCCTTCATTGTTTAACACCTCATTGCAACTGACATCTCCCCTACAGTGTGAGTCAGCTGGAGGCTTCGCTATGTAATTAATGCATAATTGAAACCTCCTCCACACAATTATAGTACTGGCTGTACCTCATAGCTCATTTGGCATAGATTTTATTTGGTTTCATGTAAAATTAAGGATTTTTCAATTTTTCAGCCCTTCAATAAATAAGTGAAACAGAACAAAACCTACCATAACCTTTAACATCCCTAAATAACAAAATTAAGGTTATATTATGAAAGTATTAATAAATACATTTTACATATAATTATAAATGTGATCTTGAGAGAAGTTTTAGTAGGACTATAAGTTTATTTAAATAAAATGATTGGATGGCACTCATGATTCTGGCCATGATGATAGAGGACAGAGTTCCAGAAGAGAGATTGCGTGTAGAGAGTGCTTCAAATATATCTAGAGGGTTCCCCTCACATTTAGTCAAATACTATTGAGCGCATTCATGTGAGAAAACTACCTGAGGCCTGGGGAAGAAGCAGGCAGAACAATTACTGGAGTTTACTCTGGACCATGAAGAGTTTGTTCCCAACAGCCACAGGTAGTGCAAAAGGATTCAACCACTTTGGAAAACAAATAGAGTTTCTTTTTTCTTTTTCTCATTACTTTTAAGATACTATTGCACTACATTCTAGCTTCCTGTGTTGGTTCATAGGTCACCCGTTAGTGTGATAATTGGTCCTATGAAGGAAATCTGCTTTACCTGGTTATTTTATTTTATTTTTTTTAAAGATTTTATTTATTTGAGAGAGAGAGAGAAACAGCATGAGAGGGGAGAAGGTCAGAGGGAGAAGCAGGCTCCCTGCTGAGCCGGGAGCCTGATGGCGGGACTCGATCCCGGGACTCCAGGATCATGACCTGAGCCAAAGGCAGTCGCTCAACCAACTGAGCCACCCAGGCAGACCATTTTAAACTTGTTTCTGTTCAACCTAGATGTAGATTTCTTATATATCCCACTTTAGGATTCATTAGAATTAAGTGTATGGATTTGTGTTTTTTGTCAGTTCTGAGTCCTGGCCCTTTACCTGTGTATCCCCCCGCCCCTTTTCTCTTCTCTTTCTGGGACTTTTTCAATTTTAGTGGTTCGCTTTAGTTCTTTTTCAAATCTTTGGTCTTTTTAAAAGTATTTTTTTCTCCTGTCCATATTTGCAATCTTGTTTTATAAGCTTTGATCTTTGATAATTGCATTATTAGAAGTCCTTAGTTACCTTTTTCTTTTGACAGTTGTTTCTTTCATGATGGCTCTCATTTCCTTGTGTGTTCAGTTTATCTAGTACATTTAATACTTTTCATTGTCTTCATTTACTGTTCGTTTTCCTTGGAATTTAAAATGAAGGTGGGGGGAGGGGTAATCCAGAAAAGGTTTACATTTGTGTTTGCTAAGTACCTGGGAGCATTGCCAATATTACATCACTTTAAATTAAATTCTCAGTTTGAGGTTTTTAAACATGCAGACATTGTTGCTTTTTCTTTTCTATACTTTTCAAATTCCAACGTCAGGAAAACTATATTTTTAACCTGGGAAATATTCATAAACTTGCTTTGTTTTTAAAATAACGTAAAATCTGTAATTTATTTAACTATATCATTTATTTGGATTTTATTCTTTGACAATACTAATAAAATTATTTCAGTAGAACTGTACTTGTTTAAATAGTAATGACTTTAGTCATATCATCACCCACACTCCTTTACTCATGGAATGTAGAGTGGAATAAATAATTGCAAATATTGGATAAGTCAGTGGACATCATAATATTTCTCCAAATCACATATATTCATCCATCACATCAGTTGTGCAATTCTGGTTATATTTGTTAGAACATCTTTAGTTGTAAATGATAAATACCAACTCAAAGTAGCTTTATCAAAAAATACTTATTGACTCAATGTGACTGAACAGTCCTGGCTTCTGACAGCTAGACTTAGTGCTAAAATGATATAATCAGGAGTTCGTCTCTCCATCTCTCAGGTTCTCACTTTTCAGGTCCAAGAGGATTATCAAAAACTCCAGGTTACTGATCACAGTAGAAAGATAGTTCCTGTTTCCCAATAATTCCAGCAAAAAATCCAGGTTTAAGTCTCATTGGCCTGGCTTGGATAATGTGTTTATTGTTGCAGTCAGGGTGCTTAATTCTTGCCTCAGATTCAAGTGAGGGCCAATTTACAATTCTGAGATTTGATTTTCCTTGCGGTTGCCAGGGTGTTAATAAGGGCTAGGGGTGGGGTACAGGAAAAAGGGTGGGCAGTGGGTTTATTTCTAGCTTACCATTATATTGAATTTAATCTCTGAGAGTCCAACCTTTGTGAAAGAAGAAATTTATGTTAGATTCCCTCCCTTGAGCAGAATTTAGGCTTTATTTCTTACTCCAGGATCCCAGGGAAATACAGTAAAAAAAAAAAGCTTAAGTTTAATTAGTTTGCTAGTGCCTTCCATGGATAGAGAAATCTACATTGTTATTCTAACTTTAAGTTTAGGAGAGTAGGATAGAAGATCGATCCTTACATTATTACCACATGAGATCAAGGCTGAAAAACATTTTGAAAAACAGCTGCAGTGAAGCTACTATTCTAAAGACCTAGATATATTCAGAAATTAAAATAGTAGAGCATGTAAAAATTACAGGATGATAGTTAAAGAACCGTGTTAATGACTCTGAACTTAGTAAAACATCAACAAATATGTGAACATGCAAATGCTATGTAACTCATTTCTTAATGCATTAGAAGTGAATTAGGTGTTTAATAGACTAAGAAGTTGGGTATTATAGATCACTCATTTGTACGTATATAATAATTCATTAAAGATTGTAAGTAATTTTGCATAAGTAATTTTATACTTTTACAACATTTAAAATTTCAAAAGCTAGAAAAGAGTGAGATGCAGTATTATATTTAAGAATGTAAACATTTTAATCCCATCTAGATATAGATTGAGATAAAGCGTCTTTCTCTTGGCAGTGAGACCACTTTGTATCTGGAATGTAAGCTTCAAGGGGGCAGTGACTTTTTTTTTTTTTACAACGATGTATATTGTATAACTTAGTACAATGTATCACTGTTGATACATTTTTGTTGTTTTATATGAAAACTGTTTCCAACAATGCATGTCTGTTAATTTTAAAGTGTTTAATTATTCAGTGTTAGTATTACATTTGGCATTTTCTAAGTGGGCTTGATTAATAAATAACCAAAATCAATAGGTAGTAAAATGATTATCTGGAGGAGGTTTTTAAATGATATGGAAATCTTAACTTTTCCATCAGATTTGACATGGATATGAAAACAGCTCAGAAATGAAGTACCGTTTATCACAATCACCGTCTACTAAAAACTTTCATGAATACAAGACTAGTATTACTAATGATGAATTCAGCATGTGATGTTGAAGTTTTTCAAAGGACTCTGCCAAGTGCAAGCTCTCATGTATCCCCTCCACTCCATTTATCTGTCTTAACCTTTAGAAGTGGAGTGAGTCTCAGTGTAATGACTGCATTGCCCCCATTTAATTGGTGGTGCCAGACCATAGCTAATAAAATATGGTAATAGAGTGTGTATTAGGAGTATGCATGTTTTTAAAAGAAGACCGTTTTGAAATGTTTTGTGAATACCAACAATCTAGAGCTGGCAACAGCTTTGCAGATGCTGAATTATTTTTGAGAATATCTGTTGTTAGTACAGTGGAGAATTGAATCGCATGGTAGAGTTGGTAATTTACTAAATAACTAGCAGTATTTATACTAAGACAGTTGGCATATACTTATTTAATTCCTCCTTTAAAATTTGCAAAGCAACCCTGAAATTGGATAGCATTTTTCTAATTTTTGCTAAGTCATAATCCATGAAAAGGGGTGTTTTGTGATGCTCTTAGACTAAGTCACCTATTTGGGGAAAAGCCACATCATCCTCATGTCAAGTGACCTTTTGATTTATAATAAAATTTTCTTCTACTAGCATTTGAAAAATCAAGGATTAGTATGGTCTTTTATGTAACTTTGGAAAATGTTAAGTGCTAGATGGATTAATAAAAATTGTGTGTGTGTGAGAGAGACACAGATATAGACATACACACCAAATTATGGCCTATGTGAGCTGAGTGCTATCATGGAAAGGAAAGGTTATACTCCACACGTGATCTGTACATGCAGAGCAGGTTCATTAAAAAAAAAAAAAAAAAAGAAAGTTTGGTTTAAAACTTTCAATATATTTTCCCATTTGTATCACATTGAAACATTTGACCTTTTCTCATCTCTATTTTTTCAAAGATTTGTCCCATCAGATGAAAAGAAGAAACAAGGCTGCCAACGAGAAAATGAAACTTTAATACAGAGAAGAAAAGATCAGATGCAACCAGGAGGCACTGCAATTAGTGTCACAGTTCCTTATAGAGTAGTAGACCAGCCCCTTAAACTTATGCCTCAAGACTGGTAAGATGATTTATACTTTTATGTAGTCATTAAATTTTTTTTATAATTAAAAACTGTCACATTTTGTCATGAGTTCTAAATAGAAACTATGCCTGAAAACCATGTTAATGTGTAAGTTGGTCATTAATAATGTTCACATTTTAGTAATACCTAATACCTAAATAAATTTGTATTTTGGCTAGCTAAACTTTATTTTACTTATAAGAAACACTTCAGGGGCGCCTGGGTGGCTCACTTGGTTAAGCATCTGACTTCGGCTTAGGTTATGATCTCAGGGTCCTGGGTTTGGGTCGTTGTCAGGCTCCCCATTCAGTGAGGAGTCTGCTTGCCCCTTTGCCCCTCCCCTGCCGCTCGTGTGCACTCGCTGTCTCTCAAATTAAATCTTTAAAAAAAAAAAAAAAAAAAGAAACACTTCTGGAAAACTTAGTAAAAACTCTTTCCACTGTTTATTTGTTCTGGATCAGCCTTTAGAGTAAAATTTCCAAATAGACTGTTTTGAGAGCTATAGTTTTAGATTTTTGATTTGGAGAATTCACATTTTTGGGTAAGAAATGATAAATGAAAGAATTGTTACTTTTATTGTAGGGAATAATTTAATAAAAAGAATAACATGGGGCACCTGGGTGGCTCAGTTGGTTAAGCAACTGCCTTTGGCTCGGGTCATGATCCTGGAGTCCCAGGATCGAGTCCCACATTGGGCTCCCTGCTCGGCAGGAAGTCTGCTTCTCCCTTGACCCTCCCCCCCTCACGTGTTCTCTCTCTCTCTCATTCTCGTTCTCTCAAATAAATAAATGAATAAAATCTTAAAAAAAAAAAAATAACATTACTCCTCTGATTTAACTCTCTAATTACATTAAAGTGTCCTTTAATAAAATATTAAGCTATTTATAACAAAGTGCCTATAAACTCAGATTCATGAATTATCTTAAATTATTTTATTAATCTAAGCTGGAATAAAAATACAGAGTCTGAGAGTGCATCTCTGTGACATAGAAAATACAACACATTGATGAATTACCTGGTTTACCTTTGAAGTACTCATTCGTCTTCCCACATTAGGAAGTCAGGGCACTGAGAATATAAGTATGTTAAAAATTTATTATATGAAGTAAGATGAGAATTTCAGATACCAAGTTTAAAAATTGTAGGAAGAAGGAAAGTTACACCATTTGTTTTATATGTTTGTAGTTAGTTGCAGAAAAAAGACAGTATATACAGGTGCTGTCACCGTGCTACAAAACATTGCTTGTATATATTAGCTAGGTCCCTAGTCATTGATGTCATAACCTAGGAATAATATTTTCCTTACCTTTTTTCTTTCTTTCTCTGTTAATTGTCCTTTTAAGAATTCACAGAGAGTAGTATTTATATTATCCTGCTTACCTCTTAACCCTGTGAAACCCAGTAGGATCTAGGTGATGTCTCTCCAGATTTCCTTTAGTTTGGCAGGTACCTTGGGCTTTCAGCTATTGTATGGCACAAACTATGTCATCAAGTTAAGAGACCATTTAATAGTGTGCTCCGTTACCAAACATAGTTTTGGCACTATGGGACATATATCCTATGCAAGGAGGAAATTTTTTATTTAAGATTTAATGTTAGCCTTAGAGATTTTTGAGTAGATTAAGAATTTTAAGCTGTGGTTTTTCACAGTAACTTGAATTGTTGCTGTAGGTCTTTTACTTGAATAGAAGGTAACCCTGGTTTAATGCTCTGTTGGCTATATAGTCTTCATTTAATGCAGTGGTTATCAGAGTATGGTCTGCGAACCTCTGGGCATTCCTAAGACCATTTCAGGGAATTACAAGGTTAAAACTATTTCCATTATAGTACTGAGATGGCTGTTCTCAGGATTTATCAGTCCTCCCACAGGAACAGTAGCGTAACCAGTGCACAGGAGTAATCATTGCCTCCCTTTCTCCTTCTCACTCCTCTTCTTCCCTCCATTTCTCTTCTGACTAATGGACTAACCATACACTTCTATTTCCTTATCTGTAAAATGGGGGTAATAATAGTACTCACCTCGTTGAATTGTTTGGAAGATTCAGTGTGTTAACATATGTACAGTGTAAGGTGCTTAGAACAGCACTGGCACAGAGTGAATGCTCATAGTACATCTTAATGTTAACTATTATTGTTTATATTATGGTTTTGTTCCCACTTTAGTTCTAGACTTAAACTGTTTATGGCCTTTGTACTTATTATAATTTCTCAATTTAATTAAATACTTTGTGAACTGATGAAAAATATGAGGGCATAGAGAAAGATTTGTTCTTTTTAGGAAAACAAAGTTAAATGGTTGGAAAGACAAGTTGCTTTATTTTTTATTTTAATTTTTTTAAAGATTTTATTTATTTATTTGACAGAGACACAGAGAGAGAGGGAACACAAGCAGGGGGAGTGGGAGAGGGAGAGGCAGGCCTCCCGCCAAGCAGGGAGCCCAATGTGGGGCTCAATCCCAGGACCCTAGGACCATGACCTGAGCTGAAGGCAGATGCTCAATGACTGAGCCATCCAGGTGCCCTGACAAGTTGCTTTAAAAAACACTAATGGGGTGCCTGGGTGGCTCAGTCAGTTAAGTGTCCGACTCTTTATCTTGGCTCGGGTCTTGATCTCAGAGTTGTGAGTTCAAGTCCCAGGTTGGGCTCCATGTTGGGCATGGGGCCTACTTAGAAAAGAAAATAAAATGCTAATAGAATTTAGGGTGAGTGAAATGTAAACAATTGGAAAAATTAAAGTTTGATGGTTTTTCTACTCAAGATTACTTCCCAAATAATCAGAACTCAAAAATAAGGCCTTGGGGCTTTATAAAATGATTGGTGAGTTACTATAATTTATAATGTTTTTAATTAGAGTAAAGCATTTAAGATGTATTTGGATTTTAGATAATTTTCTTTTAAAACCAACTTTTTCAATTAATAGATCAAGTCTTGTTCCCTATTGCATTGGAAAAGTGGGCCCTTATTCTAGGAGAAGGGCAGATTAAAGGTTAAAAAGATTGCATATAAGGATTGTGTGTGTAATTATGTTTAAAAGGCTTAGGTGCAAAAACAGATGCATGGGAAGTGTAGCAATCATTAGTATGCTCTAATGGTAGCATTATAACAGTTTTGTAATTTGCCTCACAGATTTGTTGACAGTAGATTATATCACATGAGCAATTGAGTCCTTTCCTTAAGGATTTATAGTAATCAAAGTTCATATTTAAGGTATTTTCTCAACCCTGGAGCTCTAACCCTGCCCCTTTTATATTTATAGGGATCGGGTTGTAGCAGTTTTTGTGCAAGGTCCTGCGTGGCAGTTCAAAGGTTGGCCATGGCTTTTGCCTGATGGATCACCAGTTGACATATTTGCTAAAAGTAAGATTCTCTCTATTTTTTACTGCTTATCCAATATAGAAATGGTCTTGCTTTATTTAAGAAAAAGCCATCTATGACTCTTCATATATGATGTGTATATCAAAGGATTCCATTAACATATGCTAATTTTTAAGCACCTGTGAAATATTTTTAAAGTCTTTTTTTGAACATTAATATTTTTTTGTGTACTTATATCTAAAAGTGAATTATCTCCCATTCCCTACATTAGGTCACTTAAAAAGCATTAATATTGTTGCACATCCACAGATTTTTATTAAAATTGTTGGCCAGTTTTTAAATGGGTTGACTTCCGCTGAACAGTAATGTGTAGCTAGGTCTTAAAGTACCATGTGACTTTTACCAGCTATTTCCATTGTCTAGAATGATTGTAGCATGTTTGGCTTTTTCTTTTCATTCAAGTCTAAGTTCAAGTATTCTGTTCTTCAGAGAATCCTTCTCTGGCCAGCCTGGAAATAGCCATTACTTCCTTCCAGTTACTCTTTAAGCTCTTTTATGTTCATGATAGTACTTACTGTTGTTTGATATTATCTTATTTACACCTTTACTGTAAGTCTTCCCTGGCTATAAGGCCAAGTTCCTTGGTAGGAGGAGCCTTTTCTGCCTTGTTCACCCTTGAATTGTCATCACAGAAGAGTGCCTGGCATAGGGGAAGCATTCAATAGATATCTGTTAAATGAACATTTCATGTGGCTTAGATCTTTTGGTATTTTGATATAGTTAGATACACTAAACATAGATTAATTTACTCTGGTTTTTGCAGTAGAGATATTCCAATTATTATTTAATTCGAGTACCCAATTAAGTTAGTAACCGTAGTAAATTGTTTTTTAAAAAACATTCTTATGAAACAAGTATGTTTATTAGAAATGACAACTTCAGTTATTATGAATGTAGATTGTGCTACTGTAAAATCCAGCTGTTTTTTTTTTTTTTTAAAGTAACTCAGCTTTGTTAGGGTTACCACCAGTCTTCCAAGATGGAAACTGCCCAAGCTTGGAAGTTTCAATCCTTTATTCTCTACTTTCATTCATTTTAGACAATGATTCTAATATTACTAATATTGTGATAGATTTTTATGTTATTTCTGAAACTTGAATAATGCACAGGGTTGATAACTAGAAAGTTAAAGATATAGAGAGAATGGGAATTTTAATGAAAGTAAAATGTCCGTGAACATGAATGTTTTACCTACTTGCTTGCCTTTTTGAATAGTGTTGCAAAAAAAAAAAAATTATTATAATGTCTTCAAGATGTAAATGCTGCCTAAATTTCATTCAGAATGTAATGTGTTGTAATTTTTTTGTTCAGATTGTTAGAAGAGACTTTTTTATACAGTTACCAATTATGAATTTCTTCCATAAATTATTTCTTTTCAGTCTTCCTTCTTTAAGCTCTTGCTTCTATCAGCATTTAAAATGAAAGTACTCTTCTTGCTGCTTCCATCTTAAAACTCTTTCTCTTGACCTCAACTCTAGCTCCTCTTTTGAATTGTCTCTACTAACTCATTTTCTATTCAGTTCTCAATTCGCTGTTTGGCTCTCTTGCTCTTCACTAAACTATTCTCACCAAACTTACCAGTGACTCAAATATTAGATACTTTTGACCTCCTTATCAAAATTTGATTCTCTTCATTCATTTCTTCCTTTTTAAAATGTTCTTTTCCAAGGGCTTATACTCTTTCTCAGATTCTCTAGCTACTTTTCATCTGGCTTTCAGCTACCTGTTTATATCTAGTTTCTCTTCTCCTTTATTATAGATAACTCTCTCAAGGAGATCTGGTAGCTTTCAATTACCATCTATAACCCTCCCTTTATTCTGTTAAGTCTCTAGCTTTATATTCTGGGTCTGTATATCTCACTAATTACGAGAGAACTCCTCTGAGAGGTCCTGTTGGTACATCAGACTCAGCCTGTTCCAAATGGAATTGTCTTGTACTCTCCCTCATTCTCAGACTGTTTCTTTTTCTCAATTTCTTGTGTAATTTTCCTAAGCCAGAAATTTAGGAATATATTACCTTTTAGCTCTTAGTAGGTCTCCTTGCTTTTTACTCTGCCTTTTCTAGATTTTCACCCTTTCCCCCATAACACACATAGAAAATAGTAACATCTATAAAGCATGGGAGAAAACTGAGCATCTGTATGGGCCCTGGTAAAAACTTATATTTTCTTCATATTGCATAACAGAATACAGAATTTTAGAGAAGATACTAAGTATTGATTTGTATAAAAATGTTAGTTACCAATGAGAAAATTTTTTCATGAGTATCTATATTATGTTGCCCCTTTGTCATCTGACATGCCATCATTGTACCTACTAAATATTATTCAAGAGCGTTGTTTTTTTTTTTTTTTACTTCTTTGTTCCTGTAAAATAATGTCGAGATTCATGCAGTTTGCAAAAAATGAACAGTTCTGAATCGTGTGAAGTATTTTTGCTTTAGTATTCATTATGCTACCAGGTAGATGACTGGCTTTCTTATAAAAGAAGTTCGTTTGTTCTATTTTTTGCTGAGGATTAAAAACTAAAAGTCTTTTTTTGAATAAGAAAGATGTTTTATAGTAATATCTTGGTGTAAGTTTGCTTGCCACCATTCCTTCATGCTAATAAAATATCTTGTGTGATTAGAGAAACCTTATGCTTTCTCATTTGTGATTTAAACTTTTTGGACTCTCACGTTTCACCTTTTTTTTTTTTTTAAAGATTTTTTATTTTTTATTAGAGAGAGCGTACAAGCAGGGGAGCGGCAGGTAGAGGTAGAGGGAGAAGTAGGCTCCCCGCTCAGCAGGGAGCCTGACGTGGGGCTCAATCCCAGGATCCTGGAATCATGACCTGGACCGAAGGCAGCCGCTTAACCGACTGAGCCACCTAGGTGCCCCTCATGTTTCACCTTAAATTTTAAAAGTTGTCTATTCTGGTGGAAAAATAAATACTATATAAACTAAATCTATTGAAATTAAGGAGTTGGGGACTGTAGGCTTTTATAGCTTTAGATAAATCATTTTTTAAAAATATAACTAATATATTTTTCAGAATGAGGGGTACCTGGGTGGTTCAATTGGTTAAGGGTCTGCGTTTGGCTCAGGTCATTTTCCCAGAGTCCCAAGATTGAGCCCTGCATTGAGCTCCTTGGTCAGCGGGGAGTCTACTTGTCCGGGTCCCTCTGCCTCCTCCCCGGCTTGTGCGCTCGTGCTCTCGTGCTCTCTCTCTCAAATAAATAAATAAAATCTTCAAAAAAAGAATGATTTAGGGGCACATGGGTGGCTCAGTCTGTTCGTTGAGCATCTGACTCTTGATTTCGGCTCAGGTCATGATCTCTGAGTCATGAGATTGAGCCCTGCATCGGACTCATCACTCAGCAGGGAGTCTGCTTGAGATTCTCTCTCTCCCTCTGCCCTTCCACCCTTTCTCTAAATAGATAGTTAGATAAATAGATACATATTTTTTAAAAGAATGATTTAAAGCACATCACATTGAGAAAATTAGAAAAGTGAAACGTAGTAAGGAAAATAGGAAGTATTGAAATGTTGACTTCAATTTAAAAATTTTTAAAAATTAAAATTTTTTATACAGATAAATATTTTGAAAATGGGTTTTCTGAAGCTATAATATATAGCCCTTCTAATGATTCAGTTTAAATTTATTAAATTGAATTAAATTCAAAATGAATAATGTGTCTGATGAGGGGACCTTTAATTATATAAAAGCATAATAATTCTGGAGTAATGTTTATATGTTTCTTTTTGTGGGCACAAATGATTCATTTTGGATTTCCATCAAGAATTATACTTCGGGGGTGCCTGGGTGGCTCAGTCAGTTAAGCGTCCGTCTGCTTTCAGCTCAGGTCGTGATCCTGGGTTCCTGGGATTGAGCCCTGCATCGACCTGTCTGCTCAGAGGGGAGTCTGCTTCTTCCTCTCCCTCTACCTGCCACTCTGCCTACTTGTGATCTCTCTTACTCTCTCATCAAATAAATAAATAAACTCTTAAAAAAAAAAAAAAGAATTACACTTTGTTCGATTCACTGTTAACATTGAAAGCCAGTAGGCCAGCCAGCAGTATGGAACAAGCAGTCCATAAAGTAGTTATCAAAAAAATTAACAAAGTCAATCATTTTTCTCTTTAGAGACCTCTAATACTAGATGATAATGATAGTAACAATTATATCTTATATGTTAGAAAAAAAGTAAATTGAAAGAAAAGCTAAACATCTTACATGTGTACATGTGAGAACAGAAACTTCACAGATGGTAAATTGATTGCAAAATAAACTAGCCAGGTTGATTCAACTGGGTTATCAGGGAGAGAGAAAGATTGAAAGTAATACTTTATGGTCCATTTGTTAACCTTTTGCAATATACTGTACTTAGGAGATTTTGCCCTAGAGTCTTTTATTTGCCCAACACCCAGAATTAACTGTTAAAAATGAAAACCGGATAATTTCACCTTCTTACTCTAAACTTTCTAGTGGCTTACTATCATATGGGAATAAATTCATATTTTTTACCATAGCCAAATTCTACATATAGGACATTGCCTACAAAAGAAGTTATACTTGTTTATAGAATGTGCCAAGCTTGCTTTCATTTCAGAACCTTTTTACCAGCTGTTCCGTCTGGCTGAAATCCTCTTATGGATCTTTGCTAGACTCACTTTTTATATCATTTAATTATCTACTTCTAGGTAACCTTCTCATGAGGCTTTCCAAATTTTTCTTTTTCCCTTTTCATCATTTCTTACCAAGTTCCATTAGTTCTTACTCCCTAATTATTTCTTGAATCTTTTTCTTGCCAGGCATATATCTTCTCCCAAGTTGAGCAAATCTCTTCTCTAGATTACTAAATTGTATCAGTAGTCACTGCTAAACATTTTGCAGTGATTCTCCCTATCTCTTAGATAAAAGTCCAAACCCCTTAATATGGCCTACATGGCCAACATTGTTCTGAATCTGTGGTCTTAACCTTTTACCCATTTTTTTACATTACTTTGTATGATGCAGTTCCACTAAAGTTCTTTAGTTCCTAGATGAAACCATTTTCTCTTTGAGCATGTTCTTGGCTAACTGGATCACTTTTGTTCTGTGTTTGCCTAATTCTTACTCAAGCTTTAGATCTTAGATTAGAGGTCATTACCTATGTAAGCCTTTTCCGAATTCCTTGGTCTGGGTGAGGTACTCTTACGTTTCTGTGATGTACTACACCTTTATCATAGTGTATTTGAACAGGTGTTTCTTCTTCTTATCCTTCACCCAGAACATACGCGTTTTATCTTACCTTATTCTTCATTTCAGTTCCAGTGGCTGCCATGTATAAACCCTCAGTAGGTATTTGTTGAATTGAATGTTTTTGAGGATGCTATGGTGCTTATTAGCATCTATTTCAAAGATCACTTTGGTTATAATGTAGCTTCATTTGTTGAAGAAAGTTTGATTTTTTTAAAGTTTTTTGTTTGGTTTAGTTTTTTGGTTAATGTCTATATTGGATATTTTTATTCTTTTGTAAAATATTTTTATAATTTTGATTGCAGTTTGAATAAAAAATATTATTTCCCCCCATATAGTTAAAGCCTTCCATCTCAAATATGATGAAGTTCGTCTAGATCCAAACGTTCAGAAATGGGATGTAACAGTATTAGAACTCAGCTATCACAAACGTCATTTGGATAGACCAGTTTTCTTACGGTTCTGGGAAACATTGGATAGGTAATTCTGATCCTAAAATGCACTTACTTCTGCTTTATTGTAGTAATTTTCCTTTCTCCTCAGTTAGATTTTAAGTTCATTAAAGTTGTGAACATATCCCCCAATTCCCCTTTTCGAACATTGTCTGATTTGATGATCCAGTAGATAATTAACAAATGTCTTTGTTACATTGATCTTAGAAACAGATGGAGAAAGAGTGTATATACCTGGATAGAAAGAACAGTAAACTCTGGGTCGGAAGACCTAGGCCTAGATTTTAATTCTGATTTTGTGATCTGGCTCTAATGAACTCTGTGACCTTTCTGAACCTTGTTTTTTGTCTGTCCAGGGGGCTTGGATTAAGTGATCCCTATAGTTTTTTGTTTTGTTTTGTTTGCATCACAAGGTCACTGACTGGATTTGTTATGGGTAGCTTGTGAAAGGAATTCAGTTTTTGAATTTATTTTAATTACTATTATAAATAGGATTCTTAAAGCCTTTTTACAGTAACATCAGCTTTATAATTGGAAAATTTAAGAACAGCATATGATCATAATACCAGTAAATTTATTCTCGTTGAGGTGCTCTTTAAAATCTGTCACTTTCTTGGTGTAAGTCTCTTGCTGAATATTAAGGGTTTTCCAAAGTCAGAGGTGACTGAGGTAACCCAGTGATTATAACTGATAATGTATTAAAGAGAAACATTTATTATTCTAGCCAGAAGCTCTGAGATTAAAGAATTTAATAAGAGGAATGTTTTTTCTGGCTTCAGAAGTTCTTATTCTGTATTTCCAAAGTACAGTATCAGGTTTCCAGTTTTTTAGAAAACAAAACATCCTGTACATTTTTGAATTTTAAGTTAAAATGTTAACTTATTTTTACATGTAATATTCTAAAAATCCTACAATTCCTATAATCATTATAACCTATTATAATATTATTTTTCAGGTACATGGTAAAGCATAAATCCCACTTGAGATTCTGAATTTTACTTGGTTTCCCCTTTTTCTGGAGATCTGGATTAAGAAGCATGGATATACCTTGACCTAAAGACTGAGACTCAAGCTTTATGAATTTATCAAGAACTTACAAATGAAGAAGGTCACAGATCGATCTTTTATAAGACCTTATTTGATGCTTTATGCTTCAAAGGGATGATGCTTGTCATCCATATAAGCAAACTTTTTGGCTTACAACTATTTTTTTAATATTAGCCTTCTGGTCTGTAATGGAAATTGTATATTTTGATAGAAGTTTTTTCTCCATTGGTTAAATTAGCATTACTTAAAATTTGTTTCTTTAGAAAATAAATACAGGTTATAAATGTGTGTATATTTAGAGGTTAAAAGGCTCTCTAGGCCATCTTGCTTCTGATTTTTCATTGCTCTCTAATTCCTTTTATTGAAAATACTATGTTATGAATGATATTAAATTTTAGTCTCTGGAACTTCCAAAACTAGCAAAGGGATGTGACTATTTTGAATGAATCAGAATGTCAACTGTATGTATACTGTACCTATTCTTTATTTAAAAAAGAAAAATGAAAAATCAAGAACAATTCTTCAGCTTTGGTTGAACTGTTCAGCCTTTTCAAGACTTCTTTACTTAAAATGAATACATTTAATGAATGTACATTCTTCTTACTGACTTTGGTGATTTTAAAACTTAGAATGATATTTCTATCTGTGCTATCTTTCCACTTGAAAAATCTCAAAACACAGATTAAAAACCTGTTAGGCTATAGTACTTTTTATTTTGGGAGCCAGAGTATGTTTGGGGGAAGGAAATATATTAGTCCTACTGCAATGTAACTTTAACTTTCTTATTTTTTCTCATTAAGTTCACCTTTGATTCTTACTTTATATGTATGGCATAGGATTTTGAGACTTCTATTTCTAGGCATGTTGATCTTGGAGTTCTTATCTTCCATTATCCCTAAATATTGATAAACTCCCCCAGACACCAAAGAACACATTTGCTTAATTAAGTGTCTGAAAAGAAACAAGATAAAAACACTGGTATTTTTATGTGCGTGTTCAATATCGTATAAAATATAAAACCTATATTTTAACTTAGTAAAATATTTTACTACTTCTCTACTTTAGAGTGTTGCATCCAAGGTACAAATGAATGAGCATTTTCCTTGAGTCTTGATTTCACCTTTTATTACTTAAAAGCAACTTGGAACCTCTACTCCCCTAAAGAGTTTTTGCCATTAGGATCGTTGCCGATCTTTCATCTTGTGTCATTTTTTTCTCTATTCCCTCCCCAAGTGATTTCTCTTAGGTCAGCATTTTTTTTTTTTTTTTGGTAAACATTTAGCTCCTCCTTATGTTATGCTGACATTACCTAGCCTCATTTTGAAATTTAATGCTATCATAAAAATGAGAAGCACTTACTATTTATTTTTAATCACAAAAGTCCATACCAGTAGTGAATAGAAAAAGTATTTATTCGTATGGAATTCACTTAAGGTTCTTAAGAAAAGCAGTCAGCATTTTAAATTATTAGATTGTAGGGTATTTATAAGGTTTGAACAGATTCTACCGCCTTCCATTCTTTGCATCCTCTCTTCTTGAAAACAAAAGAGAACTCAAATTTGTTCACTTTAAAATTTCTCAGCATATAAACTGTCTTCAAAATAAATTATGTATTGTATAAACTTTCTCCATGATGAAATCGTCAAGGACTAGAGTCTGTGATATTTTAATGTAAGATTACTTGTTAAGACTACTACGAGTGGACAAGAACTACCTTTCTATGAAGATTTTTAGTATTTATACTTATGTCATATAAGAAATTTACTTGATACAGAGTGTGGTTAAAATTGGGAACATCTACTTTAAACAGGGTTTATTTTTCTATCTTGAATTTGCCTTATGTATATTCAAAGGCTTCTGGAAATACTGTAAAGGAACATTAGGAAAAATACAAATATGCTGTGCTATGTATTTTAAAATCAGACCCTTAGTATGTACTTATTTTCTTTTTCTTTTTTCAGTAGTTCAGTCCCTTATTTAGGTCCATGTAATTAATTTAATAGCCATTAAATTCCAAAAACAAATTTTTTTCAGCCAATCATTATCTCATGACTCCCAAGTCCTACAGCAGCACCTATCACTGTGCCTTGCACATAGTAGGCGTTCAGTAAATAATTTATATGCATGAATGATTTTTCAGTGTGACTGATTTATTACAAAAAGTATTCTTTGACTAGGTCTTAGAGTTTGAAAATACAGAATTACAGGGAATGAAGAGGTATACACAGATATTTTAATGGAAATGAGGTATGCATTAATAAACTTGACTTACCCGGAAGTTACTGTTAACTGGAGACACCCTTGTCTTGTCCCACTGGTAAAAGAAAATTCCATTTCTTTCTTTATAGGACCCTCTTCTGAGTCAGGTACCATTAAGAGGCTTGTTGGTTTCAGTCAGTAACTCTCAACCCTGACTGCACATTACAGTCATTTGGGGGACCATTTAAATATACTATTGCCTGATTCCTGATTCTGATTTAATTTGGGCTGAGACCTGATCATCAGTATTTTTAAAAAGTTCTTTAGGTAATCTCATGTTCAGAAAGGATTGAGAATCACTGATTCAATTTGTTGTTGAAAACAGTGCCAGTATTAAATGTTTCCTCCTCATCCCCTTTCCTCATCTCTCCTCTCCTTTTTCTTTTTTCTTTCTTCTTTTCTTTCCTTTCCTGCTTTTTTTTTCTTTTGATTACCACCCTTTACACTAGACCATCCCCCTTATTGATGGTATTGGTCTACAGTTCCACATGACAAATTCAAGTCTTATTTATTTAATATAGGAGTATTTTGCTGTTTAATATTTAAACAATGTTTAATATATTTCATTATAAACTAGTATTACAGTTTATGATTTGTTTCCCATGTGTCCATATCTTTTACTAACTTTTTTTTAACAGCAGCATGACAACAATCCATACAGAAATAACTAGTTCATAATGAGGAAAATTTCATAATTAATTTTTAAGGTAGAAGAAAGTAAAGTATTAATTTCTTATCTGCCATGCAGAATTAGAGTTTGCTTATGAAAGGAAAGAGGCATACTTTTTAATTGGTCTGCACAGAAAAGTAAAAGTAAATTATTCATTTAAATAAAATTCATTATCAAACATTGAAGGAAATATTTTTCCTAAATAAAAATTTTTGTGACTCCTAACAAAGTTTAAAGCGATACATTTTTTTTGGAGGGTGGGGAGGGCGTATTTAGTTGACATATTTCTTACTATATAACAATTCCATTTTATTGGTATTAACAATAGAAATGATGATAGGATATACATATGTGGCCAGAAATAAAGTGCCACTTTGTCAGATAATGATTATCTGAGTCTTAGTTGTTGAACTAATTAGTTTTTGAGACCAGCAGTGCATTTTATAAATATTATAAAAGCTAATCAAAATTAAAACATGAAAATAATTACATGCGCCTTAATATTACTTGACTGAATTTTTATTCACTTGGATTTGATATTCAACTGGTTACCCTAACCATAGTAAATTAACTTTATAAAAGGACAAATGACTGAATTTGACTTAAATTAAGAATTGGATTAGGAATTTTGAAATGCTGTGTCCTATATATTCTGGCCTATCCATTGCCACATTTGGCTGTATAGTGGTGCCAGCATGGTTTCTATATTAATATGTTGGAATAAATAACTAAGGAAAAATTGAAAATGTATAATAGGTGTATAAAGAATTTAGTAAATGCATAATAGGCAATAATACTTCCACGTCATTGATCTGTTTGGGCTTATATGTATTATTTTAGGTAGTGTTTATTAGAGTATCTTGGGAGTTGTAAATGTATGCCATTTAAATGAGTAAAGCTAATGAAATTTTATTGCCAAAATTCAAAAAGTGGGGGCTGCTATGTCAAATTTAAGTAAATGATGTATCTGAGAATTTTGTTTGCTACTGAATTCCCTTTCTATCCAGTTTAAGTTTACTAAAAGTTACTTAACCTCCAAGTTTGATTATAGTGCTTTATATATAATGTAGTTCATTTACATGGTGTAGGCACTATAAATGATTGTTTAGCCACCAATTTGTATTATTTCTCAAGCAAAGTGGTTCTTGAATGGAGCTTAAATTTGGGCCATGTGATCTGATAAAATGTTCAGTGATTCTTACTCCATTTCAGTGGATTTTTAAATTTAAAGTTTAATTGTAAATAAAACATTTTGTAGTACTTTACTTCAACAGTCTTGGGGACATGCCCACCCCACTTCTACCCTGCTCTTCCCTCCCTCCAGCCAAAAAATCACACTCAACCAAGAATACGGAAACTGTATTTATGGGGTAGGATATGGATGATGACCGTCTTTCCATAAAAGGATTTATGAGATTTTTCAGGCATAGTATTTCTGTTTTGAAAATAAATGCAATGTGAGTTTTCACTTTGAAAACTAATGAGTTAAGTACATTTATAGTCTTCTGTTAATGAGTTAGATAACGTAGAGAATCATAGTTCTTCCTAAAAGTACCAAGCCACATGCTGTATTGAGCTTAGTTTGCTTATGGTCCAATTTACTATCTCCTTTATTGTTTTAATAGAATTAATCATCTTTACAGTTTGAGTACCCTGATTTTAACATTTTATAGTTTGAAAACAAACTGTACTCTGCATATAATCAAACCATTAACAGCATCATCCTATTGATTGTGCCAGTGATAATGTGTGACTCTTTTGCAACGAAATTTCTTTAATGAAGAATTTAATGGGCCCTATTCAAACTTAATTTCCATTCAGTTCATAAGTGCCCACTAAATATGTGTTTAATCCTGCTCTTCTGTTCATGTGATCATCTGGTCTTAGGCAGATGAGCATTCACATAACTAAAATAGATATAGCAAGAGTTGTAGATGCTGTTGGATTTTTTTCAAGGCTCAAAGGTGCTAGTATATAACAGCACATTGCCAAATAAGCTTTTTTCCCTCTCATTTTCTAAAGCACTTTCCATTTTTATTTAATCGTGTAATGATCAGGTGTTTAACATAAAAAGTAGCTCTAGAGAAGGATGTATTGTTGAGTCATAATTATTTGTAGGTACTTTGTCACAGAATTATAGTTTATAATTATAATTCATCATCTAGAGAATGTTGATTTATACTACACAACTAATGTAATAGGGCTCGGGCTATATAAGAAAGAAGAAATCAGAGATTTGGTTAATCACACTTGAACATTTTTTTGGACTGTACTTGATTTACCAAAAATTTCCAAATGGAAACCCATTGAGTTACACAACATTCACTGTGATAAAATATGGTAATTTACACTCACAGAAGAACTGCATTCATGGAGTTTACCATGTTAAAAATGTAAATATGGTAATGGCATCAATTTCTCTTTTTAAAATTGTTAAATAATATAAATATGTTTTTCTTTAAAATGGAATAGTTTGAAATTTTATCAAGTTGGTGTGTGTAATGGTTGGGGAAGATCAAATGAGCTTGATCATGGCTTATTCGATTATTTTAGCCCTATTGGGCATCACTAATGTTTATGGCATTTTGACTGTAAAACAGTTTTAAAGTATTTGTATTCTTAGTTATGTGTTTTTATTTCATTATACACCGTTGAGTACAAAAAGGAATGTAAGGGTTACTGATGATGAAATAAACTGGGGGGCATTAACGTAGTTGATGTAGGAATTTGAAGAGAAAGAAATTATATGGGAACTCCAGCTC